TATATTACTAAATGTTCAGTTTCACAACCACCCCTCTCTGTCTATCCTGCTCCCACTTTAATAGAATTCAAAATACTAACAATAACATACAAAGCCATCTACAACTCTGCCCCCAAGCTACATCACCGACCTCATCTCATATCACCCAAACCGTCCTCTTGCACCTTTCAAGACCTCCTGTTCTTTAGCTCCCTCATGACCTCCTCCCAAGCTCGACTCTAGGAGTCCTCCAAAGCCTCTCCCATCCTTTGGAACTCCCTACCCCAATCTGTCCACATATCTCCTACTCTGTCCACCTTTAGGCGATCCTTGAAAACACATCTCTACAGGGAAGTCTATATTACCTCAATATAATAACTGTATTATTACTTCTTCCATCAGCTCATCCCTCACAATTACCGTATTTGCCAGCGTATAAGACGACACGGCGTATTAGACGACCCCCTACTTTTTTTGTGGGCGGCGGGGGGTGGTCCTCTGTGGCCTCTGTGGCACCTTAAGTCGGCTGATGGGAGCCGACTTTGATGTCCTCGTCATGTATATGCGTATATATATGTGTGTGTGTATATATTGGTGGATTGGTGCTGTAATGCACATCACAAGTTGTGGGTGGCATTGGAACAGGAGACCTGCCCCTTTCCATTGTGGGGCATACTGTGGATTCGCCCTGCTCTGCCAATGTCGCAATGGACGAACCCGCTGGTGGGGGCTACAATGAGAGCAACCAGTGGCATATTTGCTGCTTCTGCCTTCTCCCCGACACCCTCGCCCATGCTACCGTTAGTGGGTAGTCCCCATTTCATACCAGTTTGATTGTAGCTGCGGAGGACTCCGCCTATCCTGTACTTGGCTGTATCTGTGGTGTGTGCCTTGCTTGCCTTTATAAATAAAGAATTTGAAAAAAAAAATATATACAGTATACTCATGCATTAGCACTGTATAGCTCAACCTATAAATGCACATGCACTTATAAATGTGCTTGCACGCTCAAGATACGCTATATAAATGTAAAGGAAACCTATGCTGAGAAAAATATGTTGGCTGGCATTTCTGAAAATGTTTTTTGTCTGGTTTCAAGCATAAGAATAGACACTTGGGGCCAACATAGCAGCATACATTTGGTAGTGGCTCTGCCCATAGCTACCCACTAGTGATAGCTATAAATGTTTTCCCCAGACATAGCCCCCTCATTATAATTTTTGTCCTCAACCTATTCACAGGCTAACCATTCTCTCACCTATCACTTTCAAGGGGCGTCCATCCAGGATCAGCCTCTCCTGGATGTGGTCGTGGTCTGTAACTGAAGGACCTCTAATATTCCAGGTGAACCATCTGTCTAAGAGGGTGGAGATTCTGGCTGTCCTTACATACTGGCCCCAGAGGTTGTGGTTGTCTATCCTCATCCAGCTTAGCATCTGTCCTCACCATTCCTAATGTGTCCATGTTGGTCTAATATCATGCCCTTCACCCACAGCCAACCCATTTGCTTTTGAGGGCCTGGAGGTTGAGAGAAGGAGTCTGTCCACCTAGGGCAGCTCATCCTCAGTAGTTACCACTTTGCTCAGGGCCAGAAAACGTTCTACTAGTGCAGTCCACTATACAGTGTGTGACAGGTTTGCCGCCTCTGCAACAGGAAAGGCATTCAATCCACTTAATCCTCAGGACTACCCAATTGCTGGACTTTGTAAACAAGGGCTTATATTTGGGCTTGTGTTTACGCATACTCTGCAATGACCAACTCAAGGTGGTTGGAGGATTCCTTGGGGATTATCTTCATGAAGGCCATAGTGAGGCTAAGGCCTCCCGAGAAGGACAGGTTTGCTCAATGGGTCTTACCTCTGCTCCTAAACTTCCTGCCCAACCCTCCACTTTCTTGGGTCAAATCCTGTTGTATCTTGGATTTGACGTCAACACCTTGTTTCTAGTAGCAGCGATGTTGGCTAGCAGAACCTCCAGAATAGACGATCTGCGTTACACTGAGCCCTACATTATGTTCTACCCTTACAAGGTTGTCATGCAACAAGTTCATGGGTTTGTACCCAAGGTAGCTTTGAGGCTTGAGCTACCACACCAATCATGATTGAATTCTACCAACCTTCGAGTATCAACCCAACTCACAAGATCTGCATGAACTGGATGTGGCAAGTTCTCTGTGTGCTTATATTTCAGCAATGGAATCTTTCAGTTGGTCAGGGAGGCTCTGCATACTCCCTGGGAGGACTGACCCTTGTGGCACACAGTACATGGTAGATCTGAAGGATATGGCACAATCAGATTGCATAGTGTTTGGTCATGCTTAGATGTGAATTGTTATAGCCACATCAGCGAATTAGGCTTTCCATGTGCCAAATACCTGGCGCACCAGCAATATTTGACATTACATTCATAAAACATATTTTACAACTGGTAGACAGACATGGAGAATCCTGAATTTCCCATTGCCATCAGGCCCGGATTTCCCACAAGGCCACCGAGGCCCGGCCTCGGGGCAGCAGAGCGCCGAGGGGCGGCAGCGGT